GCAAGGGTGTTTTAGTAAACACAATGATTTTAAATCTTTATTATTTTTGTAAACATATTGTGTCCTTGATTTTAGGAGAAATAATTATACTAGGATTGTGTGGCTTCATCCAGAATAATTTTCCAACGGCAAAAATACACCTGTCCGTGGTTTCCGGTGAATAGCAGCGTGAATGGAATTCGCAAATGGATATAATAAGTTTAATTTTTTTAACAAGTTGGTGTGTACTTGGGTTAGTTTATTGTGTGCACTTAGGTTACATTATGTGTGCCATAATTTGCAGAACTAGTTTGCTTAAGAAAAGGTGTTAAACATTTTGGTGTGCACTTAAATTGTGTTGTGTGTGCACTTAGTTAGCAATGTGTGTGCATTTGAGTTAACGAGTTTGTGCCATGATGTTCAAGAAACTAATATACGAAATATCGTGTGTACTTAGGTTAACGAATTGAATGTGTGCATGCACCAAAACGAGATTGATGTTAAAGACTATGTTGTTCACTTTAGTTAAACCGTGTGTGCCATAACGTAAATAATGAGTGTGTGGATGAAAAGACGTAAAACAAGTTAGTGTACACTTGGGTTGAACTATGTGCACTTGGATTGATAGATTAGGGTGTGCACTTGGGTTGATTGTGTTCAGGTGAAACATGTTATGATATGAGAGCCATTGATCTTGCCAAATTCAACATTCAAGATGAAAATGGATTCTTTTTAAAAAATGCAGTGACAATTTAGTCATTTTGCGTATTGTAATTTCGACCATCAACCAATTAAATAAAAATATTATATTTAGATTATTTTCATGATTTTAGGAAGACAAAATAAAGATTCTTTTGGACTTGTGACTCTAGACCATGCATATATTTGTTGCTTCATAAGTTCATATACAGTCATACAGTCATACGTATTATAGAGTGTGATAAATTTGACTATTATTCTTTTTTCTTTTTTTCTCATTTTTAGAGACCATATTAAATCCTTTGCAACTTGAAAAGCACAATTAATTTTTTTTTTTCATATTCATTAGTTTCCTGACAAACACAAAGCAAGTAAATAGCATTTAATCTATCAACAGTACTAACATGATTTTATACTTCTTCACCACACAACACGTAGAGTAAGTGCAACCATAGAGTAAGTGAAACCATATTGATATTAAAGACTATGGTGATTGGTGTGCACTTGTGTTATAACGTAAATAATAATTGTGTGGATGAAAAGATGTAAAACAAGTTGATGTGCACTTGGGTTAATAGATTAGGGTGTGCACTTGGGTTAACTGTGTGCACTTAGCTAGGTTACATTGTTTGTGCTATAATTTGTAGAATTAGTTTGTGTAAGAAAAGATATTAAACATTCTGGTGTGCACTTGGATTGTGATGAGTATGCACTTAGATAGAAATGTGTGTGCACGTGGGTCAACCAGTTTGTGACATGTTGCTCAAGAAAACTTATATACGAAATACTGTGTGCACTTAGATTAACGAATGTGTGCATGTATCAAAACCAGATTGATGTTAAAGACTATGTTGTGCACTTGGGATAAACTATGTGTGTCATAACGTAAATAATGAGCATGTGGATGAAAAAACGTAAAACAAGTTGGTGTGACTTGGATTGATAGATTAGGGTGTGCACTTGGGTTGACTCTGTGCACTTAGGTTACACGATGTGCAAAGCGTGGATTTGATACTTTAAAAAATTTGAATTCATGTGCATATACCCAGAACATAGCATTGCCAATTTGTGCATATATGCATTACAGAGTGTGCATGTGTAGGTCGAGCGTAAGGACTCGTTCATACGCATGTGCATATTTTGTTTTTAACTGTGTGCCCTTGCGATAAGAAGGGTGTGCACATAAGTGGTTAAGAGTTTGCAGTATAAATAAATACAATTTGTACATATTAGTACAACAGAATGTGCATGTGACTGTGGTGTACTAAGTTGTTTTGAACGCTAGTTATGTGCATATATGTCTTTGTAATCGTGTGTGCACCTCACTGTGTCACTCACCTGTTTTAGTATACACCATGTGCATTCGTGAAGACATATTTGTGCATTTTTTCATTTATGTGGTCTCAACTACATTATAATTCAAACAAGTCTAGAGTGTGCACCCATATATGCGTACGCACATTTATTAATCGATATGTGCACTTAATTATATGACGCAACATGTGCACTTGTATAATTGATTAATTGAATTATGTTCTGAACTTCTGATTGAATAGTTTAATTTGATGTTTGACTCATTTGCATTTATGAACTATACTGTAATAATAATAAAATAAATAAATAAATAAATAAATAAGAGGGGGAAAGGAGAAAAGAAAAAAAAACAATTCGGGTTTGGACTTTGCATCAATACGAGAATAGACGTATGTATATTAGTTGTTAAGTATTTACACTAGAAATAAGAATTGTATGCACAACGTAGATTTGAGACTAAAAAAATTTTGAACATATGTGCATATACATAAAGCATAAAGCATCTATCATTACTTCCCGTATTAACTAGCCAGAACATAATTAAAAGAAATATCAAAGGATAGGATTATAGGAATAAATAAGAGAAACCATAGAAAATCAACTAAAAAAATCCTGACCTGAAATGAACCAATACTCAACTACTCATTTTAAGGTATAATAAAGACAGATAATAAGATACGATTTGCAGTGATGTGCCAAGAGCTCAACATGGCAAGGCAATGATTTTCTGCAACAGATTGGTATAGCTTGAAACTGTATAATTTCTCTTTTATCATATCCCAATGATTTCTGCATGTAGCTAGCATACACTGCTTTCTGGAGCTCAACTTCAAAACATAGAAGAAGGTATAAAAACACTAATGACCTTTATATAACAAATCCCTCCACCCAAAGAAAAAGAGAACTCCCTGTATTCCATTTTATCAGTCCACGTTCCTTAGTCAAGCAGATTGACATATTAGAAACCACTGAATTGAAGAACCAAGGTTCACTTCACGGAATTTAATTCTTCAATACCAGATAAATAGAAATTATACACAATTTAAAATTAGTCCAATTCACGCATTAAGTTTCAAAATCCATATCACTAAATTCTAGAAATTTCGAATTAGAATGAGATCAAGAAAAAAATTGACCAAAATGCACTGATGCATGCAGATGTGTATAAAAGCGAATCACAAATGCGTATAAAACCTTTACCTAACTAAGAACCTGAAGAGAGAGCCTTGATGGAGAAATTCGCTATGGCTTCTTTATGTGTCACCGGACAAACGGAGGAAAGCGAGATCACTCTGATGGAATTCATCGGGAATCTGAGGCCTTTGTACCAGGTAGCAAAGGCAGATCGCATTGCCGGAGGCGATGGCAAAAGTCGTTTGACTCGTTTCATCGCAGCAGTGCGGTGGAGGCGTGATGGTCATGTTGTTTGGGGAGGAGGAAATGTACGACAAGCACAGCGAGAAAACTGGGCGATGAAATCGGACGCGTGCAGCCACTTCGAACCGGAAATGCCAAAACTATCCCTAAATACCTAAAATACTACAAATCTAGCGCTTAAATTTCACAAAATCAACTTTTAATCTAGACCATTGATTACAGTAAATAAATGGCCAAGATAAGTTCCTAGGTTCCTACCTAAGGATTGGTTCTTATATGATTGTTAATATATATATATATATATATATATATATATATATATATATATATATATATATATATATATATATAACGGACCCGGGGCTCGGAGGTTGAGCCCTGTGCTCGGCCCAAGGTGCCTCACCCGTATGAGCTTGGCCACATGAGGTCGGCCATGTCGAGCTCGGTACACCCGCGGACCCGGTCTACACCCGTGCGCGGTCAACTCGGAGCTACGCCTCAATTTAGGGGAGGCGGTTGGAGGGTTTAGCTTGTATAAAACCCCTCACCTTATCCTAACAATGACACTTCATTCCTTACACACTACTTTATAACTATTATTGTCCTAATCAAGCATTGTAATAGCTTATTAGCGATACTTACCGCGACCTACGGTCCCTGCAACCTTACGATATCCTTGCGTTACATTTATTTATTTTATATTACGTTCTTGTCCGAATTTATTGATTCGGGTTCATCCCGGGTTAATTAAATCCATCATTATATATATATATATGTGTGTGTGTGTGTGTGTGTGTGTGTGTACTACATACACAATTGTGCATATTTGCATGTATGCTACTTAATGATTGGTTGCAGGTTTATTGTGGTGATTTCGAATACGATTGCCCGTCCATGCTGGTAACAATCATATACTTACTTTTTATTAATATATCTGCAGTTATTGTTATGAATAATGTCAAGACTAACAATTCTCATGTTATTTTGAGTTGTTATCAAACAATTATACATAATGTATTAATTGTTGGGTGATAAAGGAAACCCTCAACCATTATTCGAGAGTGTGTAATGGATAACCATAATGAGGTAAATCAACATAGGAGAGTGTGTAATGGATAACCAAGCCAATAACTTGACCAACTTAGCTAGAGTTGTCCCCGTAGTAACTTTATTTTGAGACTACGTACCATTGGTTGTTTGCAAGTTGATTTGCCAATAGGCAAAGGCTCAAAGCTGTAAAAACATTGGTGAGGTTGGGTATCGTGGTTACTGAAAGTAGTGTGGATGGAGATGAAGTTTTGCGCGTTATCCCTTATTGCCTTCAAGAACATGTGATTCTTAAGCAACATTGGAATTCCTTGGTTCGTTGATCTTTCTTCTACTTATCGTTAGTTACTGTGTTACTGATTCCATGTGCAATATGAATCCCTTTGTAAACTGTTGAAGCACAAGTAGATTACACTGTACTGAGTATGTATATAATAATTAGCACTCCGTTTATACTTTATACAATGAGAATGTTTTATCAAATAGCATTAGTTAGAGAAGTTTTTGAAAAATATCCAAGTAATGTATAATTTTATATATTAATAAAAAGTTCTGTAAGAACATTTAACACAATAAGTTGGCAAATTATACCATAAATTAGCCAATTAAGGTTCACATTGCATCGTGGAGTCTAATCTGGTCTAAAATGACATTCAGATTATGAGAATCCTCTGGCTGCAGAGGGGATAAAAATGGAGTCGGGGGACATTGATATCATCTGAAGGAGGCTGGAATTAGAAAATGTCTCTTCCAATGCTGATGTAGAGTGGCCTCGCTTGCGCCTGCTAGCGTCTTTATTGGTCAAGTGAAGCAACTCCCTGGCGACATCCGCCATGTGAATCTTGCCATCTCCGCTGAACAGTAGGCATCTGGTTGCAAGGTCCGCCACAATATCTATCTCCTCTTGCTTCGAGGGCGTCTGGTCGTGGTAATTAAGATGCGCATCCACAATCTCCTCTATAGCTTCCCACTCCTTATCTTCTGTAGCGCTAGCTTTGCGTGCTGGTGCCGATGATCGTCTGAGTAGCCATGAAAATAGGTTGAGCTTTAGAAAATTAGGTATGGGCCTACTAATAAAATAATTTTCATGCTTACCTGATAGTTGATGTTCATCCGCACCCATGATAATCTCCAGCAGAAGCAATCCTAAGTCGTACACATCGCTCATGGCCTGCTTCTTCTCGTCATCCTCGTCCGCCTGGCTATCTAGATCGGATACCAGCTCGAACCCAGAGACATGGGCGGACCAATCGCCGTCCAAGAAGATATACCCAGACTGCAGATTGTGGTGGAAGATGGGCGGACAAATCTCGCACTGCAGGAATGCAAGAACGCTCGCCGTTTCTGCAACAATGCCCAGCCGGTCGCACCACTCGAGGGCTCCACTTTGGCCATGGCGCAAGTGGTCCATGAGGGTTCCATTGGCGGAGCCGCCGTACACGACCAACAATGTGTGGCCAGAGCCGACGGAGCAGCCGAGGGGGCGGGCGAGGTTCCGGTGTAAAACGGCGGAGACCCTCTCGGTTGCAGATAAGGTTTGGAGGAGATCCCTTTGGCCGTCGCATTGTATCTTGTGCACGGCTATTGGAGAGGCGTTTACGAGAGTTCCGGCGTATAGTTTGGCCTTGTTGCCATGGCATAGAATGTGGGCATCTGCGAATCCCCCCGTGGCCTCTTCTAGCTCACTGTAATTGAATAGTTGATGAGTGGTGTAGGCGTCTTGGAAGGAGATGTTGGTCTGAGTTTGGTGGATATGTTCAGGATCAAATCTGTCAGCGTCTTTCATGGCGGGGCGTCTTAGAAGACAAAAAAGTGCAGTCAGGGAGGCAATGGTTAATGTTGAAGTAACGACTCCTGCATTGCGTGCATACACACACACCAATTCAACTCCTGCCATCTCAATTCTCATGGAAATTAAAATGTTTTATGCCACTAGCTTAGCTACTATATATAAAGGTGACAAGTTTAACTAACACTACTACCAAGCACCTTGTGCTCAGATGGCACGTGGATTGGACTTTCATATGAGAGGTTGTGAGTTCAAGCCTTGTTTATTAATGCATTTTGCTACCGGGAGAATGAGTTATTCCCTTACCGGTCCCCTAATATTAGGTTATAGGGGTATTTAAAACATATTCTATTCCTATTCATCACATCGGAATAACATTTCTAAAATCTATTCCTTTAACAAACTAAACAATAGAATACATTTCTTTTTTTATTCATTCTCTATTTCATTTCTTGTGGAATAACATTTCTTTTCTCTTAGAATTCATCCCGTGAACCAAATTAAACATGCTATAAAGAGACTAACCCATCTCATTTATACCACATGCGTGGGAGAGAAGTTTAATTTAGGTACCCTTTACTCCTTTTGGTGGGTGAGCTATTAGAATTGTGGTTGTATTATTAGAACGGAAATTTAGAGTTTTAAGGAGAAAAATGTAAGTTTAGAAAATATGTATTGAATGTAAAATTAGATAAAAAGATTTTTTAACATTATAAATATAGCCAAGCATCTTGTGCTCAATTGACACCTTTGTGGTTATTCCTTCTCCTTGAAGGAAGGTTATAAGCAGATCGAACCCTGGCCAAGTTGCCCCCATCCCCTCTCTATATATTGCATATATACATAGTAAACATCTCTCTCTATATTGTATATACATTAGTAAACATTTATATATATTAAACATACATTAATTTAAATAAGGGTTGAGCTAGCTTAGGTGATAAGGTGTATTGTTTCTATCTCAAATTAAATGTTAAGAGTTCAAATCTTTAAGTACAAATTTTTATATTTATGACTCACCTCTAAGTGTGTATCATTTTTTCAAAATTTCTCATTGGTTTTAATCTTTCGCTCCCATTGAAGAAGATTTCTGGATCTGCCTCTAACTCCGGTGGTGTGATCTACTATTTCCTGATTAATTATTAATTTTAGGAGTGATCTACTTTTTATCACCCTTTATTCTTTATCTTTCACCCAATGAATTAATGCAAATCACATAATAAAACTCATTAACATTTTTCATTTTCGATCTTGTTATCGATTGGCCTTTTGGAGTACAGCTAAATTTTTGGATTGTGCTTTAACTAATATGACTATTCAATTTTCATATTCCCTAGATCTTTTACCAACTAGAATCACAAGATGAGTTTTACTCAGAATTCACATTTAAGTAGTATGTGCTGATTGTGAATTTTTCACAAATGAAAAATAACAATACGAATGATAATAAAAGAACAAGCTGTGATACTAACCGACTAAAATTTTTGTTTTGATTGGTCTGTGTGATTTTGCATAACAATCTTGACCATATACTTCCTTCCCTTCTTTGAAGCACGCTATAAGAAGATGTTGATATATTATGCATTAAAACCATTAATTGCTCATCAATATTATAAAAATTGAACAGGAGAGATAAATGGGTAGAAAAGAGATTAAGCAGAAAATTTGGTTCATATATACTTCATCATAGCCACATGCACCCCTGTCACAATATATTAATGTTCATTTTGTGAGTTGTAATCATTATAATAAAATATTATAATTTTTTTTGATACGAAATCAATCGAGTTCATAAAATAATTCCTCATTTATTTTATGATTAAACACTAATTTCGTAAACGAATCAATAAGTTCTATGTATTGCATAAGATATGTTAGAATAGTAAGTTTTAATATAGATTGTTTGAAGTATTGTAGTGATATTATAAGTTTATAGCTTGAAATTTAAGAAAAAAAAAATCAATTAGTCTCTCTTTCTCTCTCACACACATATATAAGAAATTAATTTTATTTTTTGTCCTAAATTTATAGGTGACAATCTATTTTTGGTCATTTTTTATTAGAATATCCTTATTTGGTTCTAATATTATTGTGATATTATCATTTTTAGTCCTCCGTCAACAAAATCGTCGAAATGTCGTTAAATACAAAGACATGTTAATCTTTTTTATATAAAGTAGGTTGACCCGCTATATTTTTTATATTTATTTTTTTGAAAAAATCTATAATTGAAGATTGAAATGCCCTTATATTTAAGGATATTTAAACTGTTTTATTGATAAAGGACTAAAAATGGTCATGTCATAATAATACTAGGACCAAAAGTACAATCGTTATACCGTGCACCAGGGCGCACATAGAAATGTGCGCCCTGCGCCTCCCAAAACGACGTCGTTTTGTTAATTTCAGCTATAAAATTCTGTGCATTCTATTATATAATTCTGTACAATGGAAATATGGGAATTTTCAGTTATAAAATTATGTATTATGCTAAGAGTTTATGTATATTATGTATTATGTTAGATTATGTGTATTATCCTTTCAAAAAAGATTATGTATATTCAGTTATAAAATTCTGTGTTTTCAGGTATAAAATTCTATGTATTCTATTATACAATTTTTTGTACATTCAAAACATGATTTTTTTTTTAAGGAGTTAACGGCAGACACCCCGAAAATGTACAAAACGACGTCGTTTTCTAGGGCGCACAATGCATTGTGCGACTTGGTGCACGATATAATTTGCCCCAAAAGTAAATGTTTTGATAAAAAAGAACTTAAAATGAATTACCACCTATAAATCTAGGACAAAAAATAAAATTAACTCTATATATAAGTGAATTTTTTTTTTTTTTGAAAATATATAAGTGAATTTAATTCAAATATTATCAATTTTTTAATTGCACTAAAACTGTGCTATAATTGGTTGCATATTGCACCAATGTAATGGCAATGTGTTACATTCTAGCTAGTATTAAATTACTAACTTAAAAATATTGCTGCTCGTGATTCAATGAATTAATTTTATTCTTTAAAAAAAAATATTGCCCATAATTGTCACAACTTGCAAATATTTATTTGAATTTTATTTGAATTTTTTCACTAATGAACATATTATATCTGAACGTTTATCCTATTAACTAGTCTTTTCTATGCGCAATGCGTAAAAATATATGTCAAATATTTATATTTTTAAAAATAATTAACAAATCCTTACTAATTAAAATCTATATGAAATCAAATTTATTTATTATATTAATCAAATATATAATGTCTACAAATATTATTATTTTAAATAATATAATAAAATATATGGTAACAATGATGGGAAAAATAACAAAAATTATAACGTTAGGAGTATTTTTGTCTAAAAATTTATATAGTACAACTCTAAAAACATAATACACAAGTTTGGTTCTTTTTAAAATTATTTAAGATGAGATTTTTTTTGAGTGCAATTAAGATGAGATTTAAATAAATAAAAAAAAAAGAAAAGAAAATAAAAGAAGGAATACTCACACTTGAGACAACCAACTCCAGAAGTAAAGCCATCCCCTGCAAATCCATCTTCACAATGGCATCTTACCCCTGAGATAACAGAGGAAGCTGCGATGATTTTGGCGTTAAGGGCACAAATCTGTTCCGAAGAGTTGCTAGGAATCGCCCATTCCACTTTAATCCCTCTCTCTCTCTCACTGCCGCCTTTACTGTCAGGGGAGACCACCCACGACGAAAATCCCCTGCAACCCAGCTGGGCAAACATGGAAAAACCCGTCCAGCCCGCGCGATCGGACAGCGGGAAGCAGCAGCCGGGGCGGCCGCCAGCGGTGCCGGCGCATGCGGCGGCGGGGATTAAACTGCCGCCGCAATCGCCTCTGCAGACCGAAGAATCCTCGCAGCCGTACAAGTCGAAGACGTTGTCAGTGGAGACGCCGAAGTAGCCGTCGTTATTCCCGGCGAATCCGAAGGACGCGAGGTCGGCGTAGCGGCGGCAGACGGAGGAGGAGTTGGGGAAATCCAGGAGGAGGCCGTCGGGGAAGAAGCGGAGGACGCGGTAGCTCCGGAAGAAAATATGAGAGGAAGAGGAATTGACACTGCCGTTGCAAGAAAGGCGGAAGGCTTCGGACGGGGGAGGGCCGCACTTGGCAGAAGGGCTAACGTAGAAGGGGTATGGAATTTGAACGCCGCCGCATGTGTCGTCGCACCGCCGCAAGAGCTCATCAGCTTGCTGCGCGGCAGCCACCGGGGAAACTGCGGTGGTCAAGGATAATGCTAGTAACAGTACCAAAAGGGGAATGCAGTGGCTCGACGGCGACATGGCGGGTGGATCGGTGGAGAATTAGGCTGTATAGCTAGAGCTATTAGCTAACGTATTGAATTTATGGTTTTGATTCAATTGACAACTTAAGTAATTAAAAGATAAGTTGATGTTATATGTATGGGTGTTCCAAGTATAATAGTTTTGTAATATTCTAAACTTTCCAGTTATGTGATCCTTCAATTTTTAATTATAATTAGTTATAGACTTATAGTCCTTTTGGAAGTAAAGTAAAGGCAAAATCGTCATTTGAGAAGAAGGTTAAAATTTGAAAATTGAATGGCGAACTTAAAATTTGAAAGTTGAATAACCATAGTAATTAATTTGAAAGTTTAGAACTAAACGTGACAAAATCACTATACTCAGAGAATTCTAGTTGACATTAATTCTTAACATGACATTTAGTGGTCATGGACAATGCTAGTAACAGTACCGAATGTGGAATGCCATCGGCATAAAAGCGGGGACTTGACGGGAACATGGTTGGCGAATCGAAGGAGAATTAGGTTGTGTAGCTAGCTATTAGCTAATGTATTGAATCGATAGTATTGATGCAATTCACATGTTACCAAATTAAAAGATGAGTTAATGTCATCTGGTCCTTCGATTATAGCGATTTTGTTAAGTTTAGTTCTAAATTTTTAACTTAATCTTTCGTGATTCTATAACTTTCAAATTTTAACCACGTAGTCCTTTTAGAAGTAAAATAAAAGCAACATCGTCCATTCAGAAAACCACAACTATATTGGTTACATTTTGAAAAAAAATTGAAGTATCATAAATGGTTAACTTGAAAGTTGAAAGACCCCGTATAGAAGATTAATTAATTTGAAAGTTTAAGATTAAATGAGACAAGATTACTCTAGTCGAAAGGCCTAGATAGCATTAACTCTAGCTTAAAAGATTCATGGAGATGAGGGGAGGGATGGCATTGGAGAAAGGGTAGTGGAGACCATTGGTCTGGGGAATAGGATGCAGTATATGTTGGGGAGACCCGCCGGACCACCTTCATTCCCTACGTACATCTCTAGATTACGGAATACTAGGAAATACTACTACACGTCTACACCAACATACACCACACTCACTCACTCCAATATATTTTCTATTTTATATGCACTTCATATTCCAAAACTCAGATACTATGCATTCTAACACCGTATTTTATTTACATTATTTTAGTAATTTCAATAGATGTAGTAGCTATGATGATAGTGCCTATGAATTGTATATATATGGTATTGCGGGCCTAGGATTCAAATTAATTTACTTCTATATATTGATTTTTGATAAACTTATATACATTTTAATACATTTCAAATGATTCTTATGCGCCAAGCATCTTGTGCTTAGATGATATGTAGTGACTCTTTCATATGGGAGGTCATGAGATTGAGCCTTAATGGACACCTTATTGACTCTTTATGCTTCAATTTACAATATAATAGAGTCAGTAACGTTAGATGTACGAATATGTTCTATTAATAATGTTTTAGACTTTTTTCTTTTTAAAAATTAACAAAAGTCTTTAAAACTGTAAATTGAATATAACATTACAAACGACTTTCATTGATTTTTATCGTTTATATTACAATTTTCTTTTATTTATTTTTATTACATATCATATATTTTAATAGATCTTATATAAATTTATGTATTACAATTATAAAAATTAAATTTGGTTGTCACAAAAACAATGTATTATAAATTTAAAAGCACGGAAGATCATTTGTTACTAAACAATACTTTGTATAATATTACAAGAAAAATGATAATATACAACAATCAACATAAAAAGAATACTAAAATGTATTTTTAGTGGTTAATTCAAAGGAAATAGTTTTCCTTGTTAGTATATGCTCAAAAGATTAAAACTATCTATAAACTTTTTAAAAGAAGAAAAAGTTTATAGAGTTTTTGTAGGATTTAGTCATGGAGAAAAAGTTTGTATAATTTAGATAATAGGCAAGAAGAAAAAGTAAGTTTGTAGAGTCGTATAGCAGTAGGTAGGAAGAAAATGTTTGTGTATTTCAAAGAGAAAAAATATATAGAGTTTTGGCAAGGGAGGGATATGATGAATGTCAACTATTTATTTTGAGAGGAAAAAAGTACAAAATTAATTTCTACAATGAAAAAAGTCCATACTGTTTTTTATTTTATTTTATTTATTTATAAAATCTCTAGACTTTTAAAGACTCTTTAAAAGTTATAATGTTAATCTTAACCTGAAACTAATGGGCTGAACCAATAAAACAAATAAATTTTAGGGTTAAGGTAAAAAAAATTTAGCCCGATACAAAATCAACTCGATAAGCCTGAAATCACTAAGGCCAATGCCCTGAACAGGTTAGCCCAATAGCTAAGCGGCTTAAAACATTAATTTGTTTGTTTCACAAGTGATGTAGAACAAAATATACAAAGAGTTCATATGTAAGCTCATCTTCTTTCTTTCTTTTTTTTTTTTTCTTTTTTTTTTTTTTTTTTTTTTTTTTTTTTTTTTTTTTTTTTTTTAGAAAAAAGGAGGGATTAACCTGGATGTGAACTACTGAGCAGCAGTGTTGGAAGGTCTTCCACACATTGTCATGCGACTGCTTCGAGCCCCAATCATGTCCTCTCACATCACATCCTCTACCACCAGCGGCGCATCATCCATATACTGACCTCCCAGCTCATGCATGAGGGCCATTGCAGCAAGCTGGTCAGTCACTTTGTTTTGCTCCCGTAGGACATGTTGGAAGCCTACCAATTGAAAATTTTGTTTTTCAAGAATACACAAAGCTTGTTCAGGTGCATCCTCAGACAACGCCGTAGTCGTCTATAACGAGTCGCTTTCAATGACTAGCTGCCTCGCCCCCCAACTTGCTGCCAAACGCATTCTGTGCAACACAGCCCGTCGCTCCGCCTGTTCAGCAGAGCACACTCCAATGTTAAAAGTGTACACACGAAGCCATGTCCCCAGGTGATCACGGAGGACACCACCGCAACCTGCTTTCGTACCCGCAGCTTTACAACCGCCATAGACGTTCAATTTCAGCCACCCCGCCTCCGGTTTCTCCCACGCCACGAGCTCCGAAGACGTTTTCCGTGTGCTGCCCTTGACCGGCCACATGTTCCGGAAAGCCTGCCATATATCTGCCCGTTGATTGTCGATCCAAGCCTTCCGTTGGTCTAAGCTCATCCTTTTTCCTGTGAACACTCGTTCATTTCGCCATCGCCAGCACCACCAGAGGCATATGCCAAAAGTTACCGGCCACTCCTCTTCGAATCCTAAAGAGCTTGCCGCCCGCAAATTGGCAGATAGGCACTCATCTCATCCTTTGCCTTGGAGCCTCTGCGTGGCTCCTCGCGACATGAACCTCTCCCAGAATCCGGTTATCTCTTTACTGTTAGTGTTTTATGTTTTGAGAAAAACCCCAACATATAATTGACAATATTATTATAACAAATTAAGGTAGGGTTTAGCTTGGTGTTTGACCGTCTTTGAAGACTCAAGAAGATTGATTGAGCAGTACAGACATTAGAAGCGTCGCTGGATCAAGACGTCAAAGGACTGGTTAAGGAAAGTTTCTAAAAGCTAGCAGACGCGTTTATGAGATGAATATTATGGAAATAATATCAGCAAATCATATCTTAAGGTATGGACTAAATATCCTTGAAGATTCAAGATCTCTTACTTCATAAGTCCTACCTTTTACAACCAGAGTTATATTTGGAGAGTGTCCAAATCAAGAAGTATATATACACATATACTTTCAGAAGTTAGGGTTGCATTGATTGAAGCCGCAGCTCTCAATACTAAAAAGAGAAACATCTCTGGGTTTTATGCCTCTTCTCAAGAAAAGGAGTTCATGGTGATTACGAAGATGAACTTGAGAAGAATCAACACTGCTTAGACAATTGGACGCGAAGATCACTCAGTTGTGGGAACAACGTGGTACTACGTTAGTGAAGCGGACTGCATTAGAGTTAGCTCTCCATTGAAGTGATTTCATTGGACTTCTGGATGCATGGCTCTCCGACTTTAAAAATCCACTAAACCTTTGTAGACTGGGTACTAACCTTGTGTGGAGCACTTGGGTGAGATCGTTTTTCTCTACCCTTGTACATTGGATTCTGAGTTAGTGGATTGGACGCATCGGTGATCATCCCCCAGATGTAGAAACACACTATATCAAACTGGGTAAACAAACCTGTGTGTCGCATTTACTTTCTGCCTTAGTCTTCCGCATTCCGTTATATCTAATTATTTATCTGAATGATTGACTGATCATAACGCCGAGTCAATCAGTCCACTATTCTGTTGGCAAGAAAGTAAATAGAATATCATAGATTAAGAGAATATGCAAAATTACATGTGGTATCAGAGCTTTTAAGTCTACATAGTGACTTGATCCACACGGCAAAAGCTTTTTGCATTTTTTTTTCTGAAGAAGTTATTTGCTTGGTTATCTGTTGTAGTATCTGGTCTATTCTCTGCCTGTGTGTTCTGGGTAGCCCTTTGACTGTAACAGGATGGATGCAAATATGAAACCACCAGAATTGGATGGTCACAACTATTCATTCTGGAAAGCTCGAATGGAGATTTATCTCCAAGCTCAAGGCACGAGGGTTTACCATATTGTTCTCACTGGATGGACTCCTCTAACAACCCAGAATGATGACGGAACCACCGAGGTCAAACCGTTAGAAACCTGCACTGAAGAGGAGATAACTGCCTCAGATATAAATAATAAGGCGTTGAATTCTACTGTAGGATCCCTACACGAATCAGTTTTCACTCTGGTTATAGGAATAAAAAAGGCTAAATGTGCATGGAAAATTCTTGAAACCAGATATGAGGGTACCAGTGATGTCAAACAATCAAAACTCCAGATGGTCATGTTCGAATTTGAAACCCTCAGAATGAATGAAGAAGAAACTATATCCAACTTCCACAGTCGTGTTCATGATCTGATGAACTGAGCCCCAGTTCTTGGGGAACCGTTTACTGAGGAAAGAGT